TTGGATCAAATTTGACCAAATTCACACACTTTAACCAAAATCGTCAAATTAATCTTAATGATAATCAAATACCTCAATTTCAAACTCACATCAAATTCAGCATATCTAAATATAATTTCAATTGAATACAAACTCATTTAATTGCCCCATGATCAATTTCCAAAACGATCGATCTCGAACAAAAAATTCAACGCAAATTAAATTTGACGCATTTTTAACATGACCGTCGACCAAAGTCGTCCGAAAGACCCTGGATGACGAAACGGATCGCGTGAGTGCGCTTCGAATGTCGATTTTGATTAAAAGAGTGTTCATTCCATCCCGAAGACGTGTTTGAAAAAAAAAACACACAAATAATAATAATAATGATATTATTAATATTAATATTAATAGTATTATACATATAATAAAATTATATGTGTGTATATATATATATATAACAATAAATTCTCACGCGTGGACTTACCTTATTCCCACACCTCTTCTCTCTCTCTCTCTCTCTCTCTACTATTCAGTTATCACGCATGCTTCTCCACGCCTCTCTCTCTCTCTCTTTCTCGGCTGGCTATAGGATTAAAAATAATAATAAAAAAAAATTGTAAAATAATTTCTCTCCCCCTTTATCTCCCCTATATAGCACTACTCCATTCTTAAGCAAGCCCCGGCACTCCATTTCTTCTTCACTACACACAGCAGCAAATCCCTTTCTCCTCACTCTTCGGAAAACGCCGAAGACACCGGAAAAGTCGAAACCGAGCTAAATTTCGGCGAACCTCCAATCCGACGTAAAAACAACATCAAACCGACGTCACGAAAAGTTGAATAAGCTCAAAGGAGCCTACTTATTCAAATCTAATTGAGGACAAACCTCTTACGCTCAGATATATCTCTTAAATTGAAACGATAATCCCGAACTTCTCTCCATTCCAGATCGCAAAATAGACCACAAAATACTTAAATATCCATATGTATGTGATCTACTCTTCGAGCTAAACAAAACAAAATCATGAACACAAAATTTGGTTGAGAATTGGCGCAGAAGGGACTCCGGGAAATTTCGGTCGTCGGTTCTCCTCCATGCTTGCGTCGTGGGTTCCGTGGGTGTCGCGTGAGGGAGGAAGAGATGAGGCAAATTTATTTTTTTTAGTTATTTTATTAGTAGATCATAAGATAGAAAGAAAGAGAGTGTGCATGTGTGTGAAAAGCACAATAAGTGACATACACTTTATTCCTTTGTGGTTGGTTACTCACGAACTGATCAACACAAATCTATTTATTGCTCAGGAGAACAGAACTTTGTATCCCTAAATTTGACAATGCTAAGAGCACATTAGACTTAAGAAGACTGCAGTGGCAACAATAATTACAGTTTGCAATGCATCTAAAACTCACTCAAAACCTAACAAATTTGAAAATACACCCAAATTTACAATATATTTCATTTTCATCCAACTAAACACTAAAATTTATAAAATCCCTACAGTCCATATAAACTGCATTACAGATTCAACCAATCAAACAATTTTCACCCTCTATAACCAGCAAAAGGCCCACAAGATGCAAAAATATAAAATATCAAAAACAACATAAAACAATGCAAAGATTTTACATAAAAAAATACTCATCAAATTCATTAATGTCATCAACTTACTTGATTTTTTTCTAATGTTGCTTTCTTTTCTTCCCAAGCCTTTGAACCTCTTTATCACCTGGTTTCAGTTCTTCTGGTAAAGTAATCTCAGTATTGTTTTTCCCATTTGTATCCACATCATTATAATCTTTACTTTCAGTTTCTTCCACATTTATCTCTGTGTTCGCATCCTTCATCTTCTGATGGAGTGAATCAATCAAATCCATGAGCTCTCTGTTCACCTGCAAAATTGGTAGAAACTGGTCAGAAAATCACATTTTTCACCCTTAAATTTTTGTTAAACTCTTTAATATTACATAACTATCACTCAATCCTCATGTATTTACATATTAGACCACCTAACCTATGCCGAAAACATAAGAATTGGGTGCCAAAATTAAAGTATGGGTCTAACACAAATCCTTCACGAGTAATTGGGATCTCATGTCATGTTGGGTCGCATTCGAGTTCATGTTTGATCAATCAAATTGAGATTTTTTACATAATTAACAAACATATTAAGTTCGAGTTACTCATACTTGCTTAAAATTATTTTCTAGTTAGACATATACCCCACCTAAAAACAGAAATGCAACGCTATGAAAGGAATGTTTATGCAAGTAGATGCTCGAATGTGTATCATATTTGTTGGAAATAAAGTGATAATCCCATGTGACACTGCTTTAAATAAGGGGGTTATTTACATACATAACTTCCAATTCTTATGTATTTACATATAACTTCTTAAAAGTGTAATACACCTTTTCATGCATATGTAAGAAGGCATGAATGTAAAAAATTGAAGTTTAGGTGCTAAATTTGAGTGGCATGCATGCAATAAAAAGAGGTAGTTACATACATACCTTCCAATTCTTAGGTATTTACATATATAACACCTAAATTTTACATTTTACATTTATATCATCTTCCACTTCACGTTAAAAATACCACCATTTTTTCTTTTTAAAAGTTAAATACACCTTCTCATGAATAGGTAAGAAGACATGAACGTAAAAATTGAAGTTTTGGTGCTAGATATGCAAATGCACAAGGAATAGAGTGGCGTGAATGTAAATCTTCAAAAAGAAAAAAAAGAAAAATTATGCAATTTTTTTTTCTTGAAAAAAGTTTGGCCGTTGGCTATTATACAAGCCCCGACCATCATTTGGGGGTAATTGAATCTCAGACCAGAGTAGACTTACAACTGACAAGCAGATCCCCGACCAACTGATCTGAGTATGCGGCGCAGAAAAATTATGCAATTGGAAGAGATAGAAAGATAAAAATTAAGCACGTGGGGACAAACCTGTGGATTTTGCAAATAATCACTGATGTCAATCTTACACGAAGGGCACTTCTTCACTATCTTCTGGGCCCTAAGAGTCCGACCCCCACTCGTCCTCTCCCTTATGAAGGACTGGTCATCATATGCATCCAGTAAACACTTCTTGCAGAAATTGTGAGCGCAAGGAGTTGTGAGGGGAAAGATCATAACCTTCGAGCAAATCTCACATTTAAATTCTACAGCAGAGAACAGCACTTGTTCAAATAATGATACATTTACAAATATACCATAATTTTTTTTTTAAGTATTTACAAATCTGACACCTAAACTTTCATGCAATACCACAGTTACTAACTCTCTAAAGGTGAAACATCTTCTCAAGCATAGGTTTATAAAACTAAAGTATTAAAATTTGGATGTTAAATAAGTAAATACATCAGATGTGTGGTGGGTATGTAAATTTCCTCCCAAAAAAATGTAAATTATTATCGTTGAAAAAAATGGGGGCCATTTACATACATACCAACCAATTCCTATTTATTTACATTTATTTTTTACATTTATACCACCCGAATCTTTCATATCACACAAAACTCCACACACTTTTATATTAGGCGAGGGAACACAAGTTTACACATAATAAGTACAGATTACGTTCCCATGCTTATTAATAAGCAACACTGCATGCATTATTCAGATATAAGAATTTCTCCACGGAGTTCAAATGGGGCATTTACATACATATCATCCAATTTCTATCTATTTGCATTTATAAACCAAAATTTTGCTTTTGTTTACATTTTAACCACCCAAATCTTTTATATTACATAAAAAATAATACTATTATAAATTTTAAAAAAAATGATATACACCTTTTGATGCCTTTAGGTGTTAGATATGTAAATATATAAGAACTGAGTGGTATGTATGCAAATCTTCCTTTTCAAATTCATGGACAGGAAAGAAGCAAACCTTTAAGCAGTCTATCTCTCATGCTGGTGCTTTTAATGCTTCTTTTTCGTCCACTATTTTTCGCATCAATATTCCCTGAGACCGAAATCTTTCTACTTTTCGGTGGAGGCTTTTTCCAACCCCACCCATTCTTTTCCTAAGCAAAAGGATAATAAAAATAATGATCAAGTCTATCTCTCATGCTAGTGTGTTTAACTTTCTAAAAGCTAAAATTGTGATATTTTTTATGTGATAAAAAAGAACTGGATGGTATAAATGTAAAGAGTAAAATTTAGATGTCGGATTTGTAAATACAAAAGAATGTGGTGGTATGTATGTAAATGCCCCAACAATCTATCAATATGAAAGCACGAATCAATAAAGATAAGGGATAAGGGCATGGCACAAGACTTGATATGAGTAGGAATGTCAAAAAAGCTCGTGTTCAATTCGTTCAATAAGTAAACGACATGAACGTGAACAAATTTTTTTCGTTCGGTTAATTAAACAAACCAAACACGAACAGTGATGCGTTTGTTCGTGTTCGAATCGTTATTGTTTAAAATAAAAAATAATTTAAAATAATTATATATAAAAAATTTATGATATTTTAAAAAATTAAATTTTATAAATTATAATATATAATAAATTAATAATAATAATATATTAATATACTATATTAATAAAATACTAATATAGATATTATATATTTATATAATATAAGTTGTATAATTAATATAATATACTATTTATATATATTAATATTAGGGATGTCAAACTGGCCCGTCGTTCGCGAGCAGCTTGTGTTCGGCTTGTTCGTTAAGAAAAGAATACGACCAGTGACTTCACGAACAATTTCAAACACGAACTTATTTCAAACAAACGAAATTTCAAATGAACCGAACACGAACACAAGCAATATTTGTTCGTGTTCGGTTCGTTTACACCCCTAGATATGAGACGCCCATTATTATAAATAAGACTTGATCACATATTTTTACATAGTACTATAAATTATATGCTTTTTAATTAAAAAAAATTCAAGGAAATTGTATAAATGAAATAAAGAATGATATGAGTGAAAAAATTCTAATCTTATAAAAAGGCATAATCAACAACTAATTTAAGTATTTTTAACTTATTTAAAAACATACGCATTGTATTGAACATGCATATCCCATATATTTTTAATATTTTTAATTTGATGTGTGGATGGAGTTTTTGAAGGTAAAAGCATGTCCCATACGTGGTGTCATGAACGACTGAGATAAACTATATTATGTTATAATTGAGTTTGAGTGTATCAAAGGAAAAAGCCAAAGAACAAAACTACAAATATTAATAATAACGTTAAATACTAAGATAACACCCAAAATTTTGGGGCCAAATTAATCCCAGAATGTCCCACTTCTCTGATTTAATTACTTGATTAAATAAATTGATCTAAAACAAGCCCTCATATAAAAATTATGATACAAAATTAATTCTAATTAGTCCCTCAATTATACAAAACTAATCGCAGTTTAGGTGTTTAGGGCAACTATAGTTGTTTGAAGAAGCAGTTGAAATAGTTGTGAAGCTGCTGCAGAAGAAAATGTTGTTTAAAAAGTTGTGGCAATTACATAATTATTTTATTTTCAAAAAAATTAGGTCGCATCCTTCTGGTAGCCACGTCAGGTTGCAAAAATACAATTTCCCGCCGATGGTGAAAAAACAGGCGAAAAGATAGTTTTGCCAAACACCTAAAAATGCGATATGACAACACATCATCAACATACCCCTGCTCCAAATTTAGCCTTAGTCCCTCAGAGATGATTTTAAATCAAGTTTAAATATTTGAAAGACTAAATTAAAGAAATATGATACATTAAAATGAAATTGACCAAAATAATCCAAAATAATCCTCTCCAACAATAGAGTGACCTTTAAATATTCATATTGGGCAACCAACTTGTGTTTTTCTACTGAGATAGAAGGAGCTAACAAAATTGTACTTACATTGTAGCCCCATGCAGACGCTTCTTTCCTTTCTGTAATATTAGTAGCGAGCTTCAGCTCCTTAATATCAGGTAGTGGCCTCGGGCGGTCGCCATTCTCATCACTGCCAAACAATTGAATATTTAAGAGCATCGAAATTTGAAATTGAGGGGAAAAAAAATCTTTATGTTACACACTTAGCTACACGGAAGCACTATTTTCTTATCATTATCAAATAGTGATTCTTTAAATTTAGGGGCATTTACGAACATAACACACAATTCTTACATACTAACATATCTAACATTTATATTTGCATCCATAACACTTAAAATTTTAAAACTGCATCTAAAATACCATCATCATTAACTTTTTTTAAAGTGAAGTACACCTTTTTATACTTTAGGTTTATGCACCAAAATGTTAAGCCTAAATATCAAATTTTGGGTGTTACAGATAAGAATTGTGTGGTTTGTATGTACATTTTCCATAACTTCAATTTCATCATCTATAGCACGAGTAATCAAAGAAAAGCTATACTTTAATTTGAATATTACATAGATTTGAATGGAAAAGCTACATTCTGATGGATTGTCTTGATGAAAATACTTTTGAGTTCAACTGCTCCCAACAATAAAGAAACGATAAAAAAATTATGTGGCATTCAAACAATGATGTGACTTGAGTGATCCAATAAGTTCGGATTTCTCATTAGTTTTGATACGCCATTAACAAATCTTCATCATCCGACACAAATCTCGATGTATGACATGGATTTCGAAGCAATCTTTTGACCAGGAAACACTCAAACTTCAATTAGAAGCCATTCTGAACTCCGATTTCAGCAAACTTACAGTCAGACTGATTGGCTCAACTACGCATACCCAATAGTACTAAAATTGGTCTAATTTGTGTCAAATCAAGCTCAAATCAAGCTATTAAAGTGTTTTTAGAAGTTTTTTGGGCATATTTGAAAGTTCAAACATATGTTGAATCCGGCATGCTTATAGTCGAATAGAGCGTCTCGACAAGACGAATCCAATGAGCACAGAATCGCTAAATTTCGGTATCGTTAAGACCCTCAAATGCTCATCAAATGTTGTATGATCAAGAGAAGCTCTCTGAGTCATCCGATCAATTTCATTAATTGCAATCGAAACTCTATAAATAGAGATCCAACGCTCTCATGAAAAAGAGAGAGAAACTTAAAACCCGAAGAAGAGCTTGAAGCTTAGAGAAGAAGTTGAAGTCCAGCATCACTTCGTCGCCGATTGCTGCCGACCACCAGTCGTCGACCACCACTCGCTGGTCATTATCGATCACCATCGATAGTCACCCACTTCTTACAACAAGTTCATCCGCATACCTATTTTGTATCTTAGAAGATTGTGTAACATTTTTACTTCAGTGGGATAAAGAACTGTACTTGTAATCTCCAGTTTATAGTGGATCTCTTCAGTTTGGTCAACCCTCGTGATTTTTCTCTTTATGGGTTTTCCACGTAAAAACTTCTAGTGTTTATACTAGTTTTTTTTTCCATCTGAGTGTGTTGAATTTTCGTGCAATAATAAGACAATTCATTACTCTACTGTCACGAAGCTTCTAGCACACATCAGTTTAGCGTTTTCTGTAGGAAAAAAGTATTCCCACCGCTAAAATACTTGCAAGAATTGTTGCATGGTCACTAGGCGCAACACTCGCAACAACAAAACATCTCTCCAACACCCATCAATCCAAGAGACAGTCACAGAGCCAAGGGCATCAGGCCTCTGCTTCCTTCTACTCTATAAGGCATTAGCCCACTCTATAAGGCATTACCCCACTGACGAAGGTGCCTAAGTTCCTTCTCTGAAAGACCGAGTACGTAGAATGGAGTCCCAACATGAGATCTTCCAGCTCCTACGGAAGTCGATGCCCATGCACCTGGATAGAGCTTATTTACCACAAGTTCAACATCCAACAGGAAATACCTTACTGAGTTCTCTCCTAATGATGAAATCATTCACCTGCCCAGACAAAATATCGATCTACTTGACGTTACAAGTTCCACTAATCTGTCTCGTGCATCTCACCTGGCACCGCCCCACCTTACTGATGCTCTTGGTGATGTCATCCGTAATGAGTTACGACGTCTGGTCCGGAATGAGTTCGCTCTGGAGAAAAAAAGGATTGCCTCCCCGCTTGCCGCAGCTTCCAAAAATCCACACTTTTGGTGGAGTAGGTTCTCCGACAACCCATCGTAGTGGGTTTTAAGCTCTCGAGCATCCACGTCGACCACTATCAAACCATCATGCACATTCACCGTGTCTCTGATGTATTTATTTGTCAAGTGTTCCCTGCAGCTCTCAAAAGTCAAGCTCGCACATAATTTTACTCCCTCCTGGGGGGCACCATCAATACCTTCAATAAGCTTGTCAGACTATTTGTAGAATAGGACCATCAAATATGCATACCACTTATCAGGAGTTCACCCGAATGAAGGGGAACCCTCAAGGAATACTTTTGCAGCTTCTCCACTAAAGCCCGCCAGATTTCGGGAGTGGATCTAGAGTTACTAAGAGGAGTCATTCTTGGAGGGCTCTGCCCGAGACTTTTTTATTCATCACAAATGCGGAGACAGTGCACTCTTACGATCTCTTCTATCACGTCGAATCTCAAATCTCTACAAACAAGGCCATCAATAAACTCGAGGAACAATTCAAGCGATTGAGAGGCAGATGCAAGAATAATGTCGAGGATTCCAATCAAACTCACAGCGAAAAAAACTTAAACTATAGGGAATCATGAGTCTCGATCAAAAAAAGAATACACGCTACTCAACACGTCATGTATCAATATCCTAAAGGTCATCAAGAATGAAAAAGTCGTCAAGGGCCAAACCCATTAAGAAATCTAAATTGTGGAGACTTGTCTCAGTATTGTCATTTTCACTAAGCAAAAAGACATTAAACAGAAAGATGTTTTCAATTAAAGAAAAAACTTGAACGTTTGATATGCCAAGGTGACCTAGGTTGCTATTTACAAGAACGAGGCGTGAAGCACCAAAAGAAAATCATCGGGATTATTAAATGAAAAATACAACTCTAAATTATCTTATTTGAGTAAAAGACTGAGATATAAACTCTTAATTTTATTCTAGCACAATTTTCATATTGCTTTACACTATCGTTTAGTGAAATTTTCTTATTTTCTCACGGAAAATTTTTATGTAAAAGGGCTACTTAAGGGCAAACGACAAACAAGATCTCCACCATGCTCCTGAAAGTCGAGCTGAAAGGCAAAACTCGATGGGAAGCTACCATATCCCTAGAAATCGAAACCAAGAGGTAAGACTCGATGGGAAGTTACCATACCCCTGAAAGTCGAGCCCAAGAAACAAGAGTTGATGGGATGATAAGATAACCCTGAAAGGCAAACCCAAGCGGTAAGACTCGATGAAAAGCTATCATGCCCCTGAAAGTCAAGCCAAAGAGGCGAGAGTGGATGGAAAGATACAGTACGCCAAGAAGTCAAACCCAGGAGGCAAGACTCGATGAAAAGTTACAATGCCTCTAAAAGATGAGCCCAAAAGGCAAGTCTCAATAGAAAACTAGTAGGGAACATAATCCTCACAAGAAAAACTCCAAAAGAGCAAGTGATTGATATAATCCCCACTCAAAGACCTCAGAAGGCACAAGTGCTCAAATGACACAGGTACATCAAAAACCTCAGAAAACTACTCAAAAGACACAGGTACATCAAAGACCTTAGAAGACTACAACTACTCAAAAGACACAGGTACATCAAAGACCTCAGAAGACTACAAGCCTCAAAATGCACATGTACATCAAAAACCTCAGAACGCTACAAGCATTAGAAGGCAGCGACACATTTCAAGCTCCTAGAAGGCATAAGCATAAGAATGCACAAGCCTCAGAAGATACGCGGCCCCGATGATACAAATCATAGAAGGCACAGTCTAAAAAGATACGTTATTTTTTTTTATAAAGTGCATGTACCAACTTTAATTGCAAAATTCTGCACATTTGAAAAGTTGCAGCATCCCAAAAGAGGATAAATCATGATTCAGAAGCAACATCAAAAATTTTATTACATCAAGCAGAACGTACAGATACATACACTATCAATCGACGATTACACCAGTTTAAACCATATGATAAAGCATCAATAAAAATGCGTGAAAAAATAGAAACAAAGACATCAATTTGTTTCAACTTTCCCCATGCCATCAAAAGTCTCTCTCACAAGCTGCCATTGGGCTAGAATGGGGTCATTTCACTTCCGGGTTAAGGACGTCTCCTCAACGATCACAATCTTCTATTCTCCTCTTCAAGGATCAACATCCTCACTTGGAAAGCCTGTAATATCTCTGTGTGTAGATTGAAATTAGTCTATGTCTCCCTCAATTCTTCTCAAACATCCATCAATTCTTGGTATAGCTGGGAGAGAAAAACCAACATGAAATATAAGACATCCTGACAGTTCACTAGTTGGCATCTCAATAACAATATATCTATTGCACAAAAGTTATTCACCTTCCTGTACTCGTCAAGGATGTGGTTGATCTCTAAAATATTGATCTTTAATTCCCTTGAAAAAAGGGTCAGGTCGTCTTCAAATGTTGTCGTCATCGCCTCCGTCATCATCTCCTGAGAGTTTTGGCACTTCCTATGAGTTAGTGTAAATAGACCTTAATAAGTTTAGGGTTAGGTATGCATGTGATTGTTATTGTGAATCTTACGTTTAGGGTTTGGGAGAGATTTGTTACCTCTCAAATTGTAGGAATTGTGAGAGATCGCCTGCCTCTAAAATCATAGGTGTTTATCGTTGTATTCATGTTGAATGTTTGATGTTTTTGTAATAAAATGTGTTTGCCCTAATTTTTATGAAACATCATATCAAATCTTATCAAATGGCATCAAAGTTGTTGATTTCTAAGAATTCCTGAAAAAACAAAAGAATGCAGCATGGAGTACAGGGCCTACATCACACTGACTTTCCTGTAGAAACCATGCCAAACAGTGGCGATTCGCTAGCTAGGAGGCGAAGGTCCGGATTGCAGCGTACACGGTCTATCTACATCACACCGACTTTTGTGAAGAAATCGCGCCAAAATGTAGTTCTTCTCTAGCTGGAGAGCGAAGGTCAGAATCAGTGTACAGACCCAAAACTACATCTTAAGTGATTCAATCTTGCTGGGAAGAATCGAGCATTGCTCGATAGAGTCGCGATTAGAGCTATGAGATCGCGGCGTACAGACCCATCAGCTTCCCACGCAAAGAATAAATTATGATTGTTAAAACCAATTTCAAATAGCCGAATACATAAAATGAAGATGATGATGCTTTAGCTGGAGTACCATATTTATTTACATTTCTAAGCCATCAGACTGAGAAAGCACACAAAAAAAATACAAAGTAAAGCCAAATCGTAATAAAAGACGGTTGAAAACCTGCTCCACGGAGCGGGCTCATTGTCACACCGAACAAAAAGGTATCTACAGACTTTAAATCCCTGAAAAATTTTACAAAACCAAGACTAAAACAGCTGCATGTGATAAGAAAGAATGTAAAATGGGCGCTAGAAAAAAATACAATAAAAAGAAAGAGAAAGGGATTCTACCTGAATTCCAACTTTACGCCAACACTTCTCAATTCTGTAAATTCCATCATAACGCACACCAGATTCAGGAGCATAAGCAGAACGTTTCTCTTTATGGGATCTGGTACCAAAGAAGTGAAAAAAAGAAAACGAAGCAAAAAATTATTGGGCCATTTACATACATAGCACACAGATCATATGTATTAATGTATCTCACACCTAAACTTTCATTTTTACACACAGCACTCAAATCTTTAATATCATTTAAAAAAAAAACTATTGCCACTTTTGGAAAGTGAAATACACCTTTTTACTGCATAAGTTTAAAACACCAAAGTACAATGTATGTAAATATGAAATTTAAGTGTGAGATATGTAAATACATAAGAATTGTGTGCTATGTATGTAAATTTCCCAGGGCCATTTACATACATAGCACAAAAAACCTTATGTATTTACGTATCTCACACCTAAACTTTTTATTGTTACACACAGCACTCAAATCTATAATATCACATCAAAAATAGCACTACTATCACTTTTTAAAAGTGAAAATATATATTTTCCTACATAAGTTTAAAACACCAAAGTGACATGCATGTAAATATGCATAGAGACTTTTTTCATGATTGTCACGGTATGAAAACTAGACTCTATCACATCATTAAATGAGTTTGATGCCAATTCAACCATCATGATGAACCTCCCTATATGGAAAAAATGAACACGCGATGCAAACAATGCATCATGATGATTGCCATGGTTTGAGAGCTAAACTATATCAAATCATTGAATGAACTTGATACCAAATCAACCGTCATGATGAACCTGCCTATAAAAATGGAAAAACTGAACATGATATACAAACAATGCCTTACTAGCATATAGCACAAAAAACAAATAAAATTAAATTTTATTCTTAACAGGTTGTTTTAGAAATGAAAACATTTAAAATCCAAGAATTAAATTCATCATCACATCGTTTTAATAATAAATAAAAACTCATGGAATCCATTTCGCTAAAACGTTGCAATGGGAAAAAAAATGAATTATTAATGAACAAAAAAATGCACACCATGAGTGATGACTAATAAATCACACTTGTAACAATGCGAAAAAAAGATGTTCGCGTAAAGACTTCTTATATTTTTTTTATAAACTTACATTACCTACCTCACAATGAAAATATGACACTAAATAGGACGCAATGAAGAAAAAAGATTCATGTAGCCGACCTCACTTAGTGGAATTAAGGCTTTGTTGTTGTTGTTGTACATTACCTACCTCACAACTCTGATAGGATAACCCTTTCTACAGCTAACCCGCAGCGCTTCATTAAGCTTTTCAAACTTTTGGTCAAAGGACTGATCCTTGCTGGTCCGTTTATTTCCACTCAAGTCTCTTCCACCACTGTTCCATGCAAAGATTAAAGCCATCATAAAATATTTATAGAAAGCAATCAGTCATTCAAAATCCAAAAAAGACATTTTAAGAAAGAATGATAACCAAAATAACAATGTAATGGTGATTCCTTAGAAATAAGAAACCTATTCCAGTGCAAATAAAGCACAAACAAAATCATTTAAACAGCACTAAAAATGGCAATATAAGCATTAGGAAGTCATACGCCCACTCATTAAATTGAAAGAGAGCAGAATAAAAGAAAAACTACTAAACGGTGCTTGCCAAGTGATATTGATAAAAAAAATACTCGAAACATTTAAGGGGCATTTACATATATAGCACACAATTCTAATGTATTTACATATCTCACACCTAAATTTTCGTATTTGCACACAAAAAAACTTAAATCTTGAACATTATTCAAAAATATCACTATTACAACATCTCAATCGCGGACTAGATTTTTTTAATGCATAGGTTAGCATTAAAATTCTGTGTCTGTAAATATGAAAGTTTAGGTGTTAGATATGCAGATACATTATAATTGTGTGCTGCGTATGTAAATTTCCCAACATTTAAATAGTGTTCAGTAAATTAATCATCAAAAAACTAACCAATGATAGGAAAGCTGATTTTTTTGAGCGGCATTTACATACATAACACTCAAATCATATGAATTTACATATCTAACACCTAAATTTTACTTCCTTACATTTATGCCACTCAAATCAATCATATATCATAAAAAATACCACCATTTTAACTTCTAAAAAGTGAAATATATATTTTCATGCATAGGCAAGGTGTGCAGATAAAACTTGATGTTTAGGTGCTAGATATGTAAATACAAAAGAATTTTGTGTTACACATGTAAATTTCCCTTATTTAATTCACCTTCCAGTATATAGGAACCATTCTCCATGATCTTCATCATCTTCATACCCTCCTGAAAGAGCAACGGACTGTGCACCATATCCAGACTGCCCAGCAATTCCAGAAACATGAGGAAGATGAACACCCCATTGCCTACACTCCAATCGATCCTCCCAATACTCACCTACCATCACCCCTTTACCTCTTTTGGGGTCATTCTCTGGCAGAATCGGACCAAAATGATCAGGAGGAACTGTTACAAAGATTTGTCCACAACATGCATTAGCTTTTCCAGCTTTTTTCGCCCTTTCGGTAGTGAATGCCTTATCAGGCCTGTTTTCATTCAATAAATGATGGTAAACATTTGTTTTGTTGCCAGACACGGGCTTCGCTGTCTTTGCCATTCGTATGGCAACTACAAGTGCAGAGTTAATCCTTGGCTGAGACACCATTTTTGGTGGAATAGGAGATCGGCATTTCACACAAGTGTGTCTACCTTGGCCCAACCATCTCTGGAAACACTTCAAACAAAAATTGTGTCCGCATGGCGTCTGCAATGAGGGGAAACCAGTTAAGGATGAAAAAAATTACAAAAAAAATCAAGGGGTATTTACATAAACACCACCTAATTCATATGTATTTACATATTGAACTTCTATATTTACTTTTTACATTTACACCACCCAAATCTTTCATATTACATAAAAAATACCACAATTTTATCTTTTAAAAAGTGAAATATACCTTTTCATGCATGCATAAGCTAGCATGTATGCAAAAAATTGAAGTTTATAAGTTAGATATGTAAATACATAGGAAGTGAGTGGTATGAATGTAAATCTTCCAAAAATCAAATAAACCAGAGAGAGATAAAAAGGGCATTATGTTGACAAGTCATATTGTCACTTTTTTAGCATAGAGTACGCTCTTTTCAAATTAGTAAACCTTTATTTCAACATGCGGCATTTCACCAGACAGAAATGTTTTAATTAATAAGACTTTTGACTAAATAAGGTGTCAAATGCAACATTTGATGGAAAATAATCCAACTACTAAGATTTTCACAATCAAACAGTCATTAAAACCAATCCCAGATGAACATAAAGATGTTCAATTCCTTTGCACCAGAGAGAGTAGTAAATAAAAAATGGTAAAAACTTTCGGAGAATGAAGAATCTTGTTGAACAAAATTTAATCGTTTAAAATTATCTTCATAAATAACAAAATGGTAATTATTTGACATTTCTAAGGTGATGGTGAGACATTTCATGCAAAATGGTTCATTTATGAATTTATTTCCACCATCAAACAGTCACTACAAACAATCCTGAAAGGACATTCTGCCGTACAAATGGTTCATACTAAACTAGAGTAGTCCATGGTGAAAAACATGGAGAATGAAGAAAACTAGGGGCCAGCCATTTAAATTGTTGAGATTTCTTCAACATCAATAATATGATAAATATTATAGAAGGCAAAATATAAAGGTTTATATTAGCTCAAGCATCAAAAAATGCAATTTTAAATTAGTGAATGGTAATTGTAGGCCAAAAAAATAAATTCTAAAATAATGTTAGGGATGCATTTGAACCAAGGGTGGAGCCATCCGCCAAGTTCAGAGGGAGCGCACGCCCTTGCTCAGTTGTACCCGCTGAAGTTTAGGGCTTTTCCTTGCTCAGTGAAACACCCCAATTCAAAGGGATGCCCTCGCTTAACAATATTCTCCCCAACTCAATAGGAGCTTCCCTGTTATCTGAACGATACTCACCTAGAAGATAAATTAAGCCTAGCAAATCCCATCCAACCAATCGACTCCATCCATTCATTTGATGACTTCACTCATCAAACCATGGTATCTTATAAAGAACTCACACAAACAATTGTCAATGTATACATTTTAGTTACTCGATCACATGTTCATATGTCAAGAACAATCAAATCATATATTTAATATTTTCTCTTCTTATATAGGTTTCATTGAGAGCCCAAATTCCTAAAAATAAAGGATCAAATCAAGCATGTAGGGACATCTATAGTACCTTATACTATGGTGAATAAGATTTCAAATTTGTTCTCACAAAAATTTTCTCACTATTTTGTCAGCTTCATTGTTCTATTCTCATATATATTATTAGTAGACTCTAAACTTGTCACTATAGTTTTGTTTTCACGGCAGAGTTTTATATCCATTTTGAATTATCGTCATACAATCAACAAAAAAGCTTTATGACAACTGACCTAACGGAGTTGGTCTCATTGACTAGATGGGCTTGCAGAGTGGCACTCATGGAGCTCATTAGATTTTCACCCTAATAATCTATAATAATCACACTTAAGACTTGTGCCATAAGGAAAGGATACAAATTAAAATAGGGAATGATTCAAGGACATATGTTCACAAAATCTCTTTGCATTTCCTCTGGATTAATCCCAAACTAAACACATAAATCACATGAGTTTGCCATTTTTCATTACACCAAGTTAAATAAGTTTCATATAGACTATGAAACTTGGTCACTATATACTGCTAATGATATTTAAGCCCCGTACACATACAAACATAATTGCACATACATAGACCGCTACACATACTACTTACCATATAGATTTCCATCTTAAAATCAATATTACACGTCTATTACTCCTAGAATAAGCTCATATGGTTTATTCATTCAAAAAGAGCATGTGCTTTTCTTTTTGTGAACATTGAAATAATATTATAAGCTAATAAAAAATTTATGTAATAATAAGTATATGATTTGCTTTTAAACTGAATAGTACTTAAAATCAAACCAAATTAAACTGTTTAACACACTAAAACAAAAATGAAACCATCATTGTGATGAAATAAAACAAACCAAACGGAAATAAACTAGTTGGTCTGGTTAAAATTGAGTTAACTTTTTCAAAACAAATATTTAGGAATTGATTTTTCAGTTTAAATTTTAATATTTTTCAATGATTTGGCATGCCTTAGTTTGGTAAATTAATCTAATATGATAAATAGTTTAAGCCTTGATAAGGTATCATGCTATCATTAACAAGGTTGTTTCCATTTTGTTTTGATTCAATTTTTAGGTTCAACGTAGCTATAAGATGTTAGCAATAACATTCTAAGTTATATTTTAAAAAAAAAAAAAACATTCTAGTTAGTAGACATTTTGCTTAATCAGTTTGGCTTGGTTTATTTTGATTCTACAAAACTTCAAACCTGCACCAACCTTAACAAGTTGGTTTAAACAAAATTTCAAATCTAAATTAAATCAAACCGACCCAATCAATTTAGTTATTTTAATTTGCATTTGCTTTAATTAGTCAAATTAGCTCACAAAACAAAGACAATCAAATTAAAATTTCGTATAAAGTCTCAATCATATTATTTGATCACATTAAAAAAATCCAAAAACACTTCTCATTTCAACGATGAAAATAAAACTATAGAATTGAGGTCTTCATCTGTCTTGTATTTACATGATAAATCCAATGTACTTAAACATGACATACTTTAGAATTACTTGATCTCCGATGTTATGGGCAATTAATTCTTTTGGGTCCAGACCCAATCCAATCCACTGAACAAGGAACTGAAATGAACAATATTTTGAATAGGACAAAATCCCCTTCTCCAATTATCTATAAATACCTTTACATCAACCACGCCAAAAAGAGGCTGCCAATACGTCTAGAATTTCCTTAACAATAATTCTTTCTATCACTTTAATTCTTGAACTTATAGAGTTAAAAGCTATGCCAACCATGATCTTCAAAGAAGGCCTACGAAAAGGTTTCCTTTCCCTTTTACATTTCCTCTTACGAGCTCAATTTAAATCCAAACATTGACTCCGTTGAGTCACCTATGGCACCAGTTTCTTTAACTATAACCCATCCATCTGCTACTATCCCCAGCTTCTTCTACATCTACCATATATATGGTGACACAGGAAAAACACCCCGAGATCCTTCAATGCTGGCACAGAAACTTTGATGGAAATCCAGACTCCAACAAACCCGGAGAAGCAAAACAATTCATTTCTTTGATTGAAACTTCTACCAGCAACGCCTACCCATAAAACTAAATGATTTCCGAGTAGCACATCCCAGACTATATATATATATATAT